AGGTCATGACTTAAATGTACAGGATTTTGGGGGGGTAATGAAAATTCAAGAAGCAAAAGTCCCAGTTCATGTCCTCCTTCCTAAAGCAAGCCCAGTTAGTTCCTATTTTATTCAGAAAACATGAGCATGAATGTTACTTCAAGATTTATTTTGAAGAATTATATGTGAATACAATAATTTACTTAACACCCTTTAGCTGAGTCCCTTGAAGTTCACCAGAGTCCCTAAAGATTCAATACTGATGGTGACAGAATTTCATTGTATGCTTATTTTTACTTGAGAGAAAGGCATATTGGGAGTAGTGTTAAAGGTTTTTACTTCTGAGGGCACAACAGAAAATTTAAGAGCCTGGTGCTGCAGACATGAGCACGGGCTGCTCTTCCAAAGGAGCCAAGTTCAGTTCCCAGCGTCTACATGGTGACTCACAGCCATCTGTAACTTAAGTTCCAGGGAATTCAGCACCCTTTTCTAACTTGAGTACACAAACAGCAGGCAAAACACCCATTTGCATAATTTTCTTGAAATATATAGAGACTTAAGTTTATTAAAACTCTTGAAATATATGGTATTAGTGTGGATTCCTAGCTATATTAAACACTTTTAACCTTTAGAAAAATGATTGGTTTTCACTTTGGAGAAAGCAGAGAAAAACTGAGTTCCCAATGGTGGTAGACACTTTAATAATAATCATTCTGTCAGCCCTTTCCATGAAACATAGATATTATCTCATTAGTAATAAGAAAACCTGTATTTAGGGATTCAGGACGCAGGAAAGATATTTTGGCCAAGATATCAGACTGAAAAAGACTCTACAGCTTACTTACCCAGCCCTCCCTAAAGTACAAAATACTTAACTCTGCACCTTGTTAGGACAACCCTGGCTTATGTAGACACTATGGTTTAAAACCTATTAGTGGATAATTCGGTCACTCTAAAATTGCCAGTTAAGAACCTTTTCAAATGGCATCTTCATAAAACATTTCAGTTAAACCAACACTGCCAATGTGCCTTTTCAGAAATGTGATATTAAACTGTTGCTGTTATTGTCACTGTTAATGCATCTCATTATGGGTGGGGGCAGAGGGGAGGCTGGCACATGGCTTAGTGCTGATGGGTGTCAAAGGATAACTTTCAAGACTTTGTTCACTTTGTGGGTCCTGGGGATCAAACTCAGGGTTAGTGGAAAGTGTCTTAACCCACTGAGACATCTTGCTGGTTTTTATTTACCACAGAGAAAAGTTTTAAAGATGTAATTGAGAATTGGGTTCCTACATCGCCCATGGTGACTCGTGAACCTACTGTGTGGATACTTAGTTGAAACCAGAACTAGAAATACATGGGAGTAAAAGATGATAAATGCTTTATTCATTACTTCTCAGATATTTGAAATAGCGTACATAATGAAGAGTGCTCCTTGCCATTTGTACCTTCATGATTAAGTACATCACTAGCTACTAAATTCAGACTGGTTTGGTTTTTTTTTTTTTTTTCGATGCAGATGTAGGCTTTTGTACCTGTGTTGAACCTCTTTTTCTTCTTTAGTCTTTCCATTTACAGCCCACTGGTACTCCAGGTACCTACCTTCTTCAGACAAGCTCAAGTCAAGGCCTTCCCCTGACTCTGACCACAAGTCCAACAGTAACCCTGGCAGCTGCTCCTGCTTCTCCTGAACAGATCATCGTTCATGCTTTATCCGTATGTTGCCTAATTAAACTTCATTTTCCAGTACCAGTTGTGATAGGTCGGGGTCAGTTGATAGAAATGTACTTTGGGCTGGGTAGCAGAGTACTTCTCGTATCACTTGTCCTCAGTGAGGTATTTCACCTAATTTTTCACTGGGTATACCTCTAATCTCCGCTATTGCCTGTTTTATTAGATGGATATCCATTCAATAAAGAATTTACAAGAGGAAGTGACTCCATGGGGAGGAAACACAGATTCTAGAAAAGTGATAAAATTAGTTGCAGAGGTGAAAGGTATAAAAGGACAGACTGCTAGTTCTTTGTCATTGATCGTTGCCTTTACTATTTTATAGCCAGAACATCTGCTGAACACAAGTGACAATGTCACAGTGCAGTGTCACACGCCAAGAGTCATCATTCAAACTGTTGCTACAGAAGACATCGCTAATTCAATATCCCAAGCAGAACTGGCGGTTGATAGTGATCTTCACTCATCTGATTTTCCTGAGCCTCCAGATGCACTAGAAGCAGACACGTTCCCAGACGAAATTCCTCGGCCTAAGATGACTATACAACCATCATTTAATACTCATGTTTCTAAATTCAGTGACCAAAACAGCACAGAACTGATGAATAGTGTCATGGTCAGAGCAGAGGAAGACATTGCCGACACTGACCTGAAGCAGGAGGAACCACCTTCTCACTTAGCCAGTGCTTACGTCACTGAGGTAAGCGGTGTGGATGACTGCAGCCTCCTCACAGGTCCTTTAAGGGAGATGCTCTCCAGGTCAGTGGTTCTCAACCTTCCTAATGCTGTGACCCTTTAATACAGTTCCTCATGTGGTGGTGACCCCAACCAGAAAACTATTTCATTGCTACTTCATAACTGTCATTTTGCTATCGTTATGAATCAAATGCAGTATCTGATGTGACCCCACAGGGTTCGAAACCCCCCAGTTTGAGAATCACTGATCTAGTACCCTTTTTTCTTTAGACTCAGAGTACAAACTCAAACAGTACCAGTAGACCAGCTCTTACTGCTGGATACACCTGAGCATAGTTCCTTGCTGAAGGGTCTCCCTCCACATCTGTTAGCATCCGCTCTTGGCTCACCTTTCGGTGGTATGGGGTAATGACAGATTTTAGCTGCATCCCACAGTGCAGCATAATTGTTCTATGTACAGATGACATAGGACAGGAGGGAGAGGGAGCTGGGATTGACCTGTGAAGCAAGCTTGTTTCTAATCTAAATTTTAAAAAAAAGGACTTAGAACAATTGGTTGAGTTCCTTTTTTATCAATACTCATTATATTATTATTATATCATAAGATTATTGAGATTCATGGACCCCCATCTTTTTACGGTTTTAATCTTTATGCTCTAATTTTAAAATGGAGGATATTTGACTACTAAGTGCTAACAGACCTGGATGTACTTGGGGAATATAAGTCTATCTCTTTTTTGTTTCCTTTTTTAAAATATTATTTAGGATTTAGAGTCTCCCACCATAGTACACCAAGTTCATCAAACAATTGATGATGAAACAATACTTATCGTTCCTTCACCACATGGCTTTATCCAGGCATCCGATGTTATAGATACTGAATCTGTCCTGCCTTTGACAACACTAACAGGTACTGTACTAAGACTCTTAATCATGAGCCTGGTAAATAAGGGGGGGAAATCTGGCAGTTTTATCCAGTCTGTTAATCTTGTCTTGGTCTATCAGTTGTTGGCTAAATACTACATGCTGGTAAAACACTTGGGCTGGGTAATAAGTAAAGCACATTTAATACTAACTTTTATTTCAACTTAACTCATTACAGATCCCATATTCCAACATCATCAGGAAGAATCAAATATAATTGGAGCATCTTTAGGCAGTCCTGTTTCTGAAGACTCAAAGGATGTTGAGGACTTGGTAAACTGTCACTAGATTGTCAGAAACAAGAAATACAAGTAAAGACGCCACATCGTTGATACATATCTCCAAAGAAAGGAGCAGTCGCAAGAGCTGTGGTTTGCCATTCCTCTGGCTTGTACGTAGTACCGTGCTTAAGCCATGCACATTGTTGCTGCTGTTACTTTTACCTCCTTTCAGTGTATCATCTGAGGTCCAATTTATGACAATGTGTTATGGAGTATAGGAAGTTTTAATTGCCCAGACCTGTTAAGTTTTTTGTCAAGAGGGAGGAGTTGCATTCACTGCAGCTACCTAAATCACCAAAGCTTAACTGCTCTGGTTTTAGACACTGTACTCTGTCCAGACTCAAGTTGGCCTGGTTATAATTGAGGTTAGTTAACAGTGACCTTCAGAAAGATTGACTTGTGAGTTTAAGACATGGCCAGCATTTAATACAAGAACATGGGAGGAGGTGGTGGTGAAGGTTACTTTGGTTACCCCATTGCTGGCAGTGGGAGCTGACTAAGGAGGGCTACAGAGAAAAGCATTAAAGAGTCAAGAAAATCCACTACAGGTCTTTGTCTTTAACTCTTAAAGGGAATAGGGATGGAGAAACAAAACATACCATAGCAAAGCAGTTACCACCCCTCGTCAGAGACAGCCAGTAGTTTACAGTTAGCACTTTGACCTCATTCAGTGAGGGGAGGGGACATTGTCTGTATCTGGTAACTGTCACTTTTTATTACATGTTTTACTATATCAATTGCCCAGGAAATAGTTGAGGGGTGTTAGAATATGCTGTTCACGTAGTGCATTACCTGTTGGGGGTGCAATATAGCTTCTCCCTCAGGCACTTTTAAAAAACAAAATTTGCTTCTGTGTCAAAAGAAAACAAATCAAGAGTCATTCCTAAGGGTAAAGCCAAAATAAACCTATAGGGCTTTAATGATATGTTCCTTAAAGAAAAGTCCAAAAAGCAGGAAGTGGGGGAAGGAAACTTGTATAAATTATTTTATTTATTATTGTAATTAGGTCTTCACAATCAAAGTTGTCTTTTCACCATCTCTGTTTTATTAATGTGAAACTGTAGTAATAAGCAAAAGTTGGTTGCCTAGGGAACAATAATTGTATATTCAGTTTAACAGAAATAAAAGAATATTTGTCTTAAAATGTAAGATTGAGCCATGCAATTAAATTGTAAAAAAAATTTTTTTCAAAAGTGAAAAGACTTTGCCATTTGAGGGCTGGAATGTTTCAGCTTCTTTAGAAAAGCGGAAATTTATGATACAACTCCCTTGCAAGAGGGAATTCAGAGTTACAATGAACATGAAAATCATGTACCAGACTTCTGCAGAGATTCTTCAGCAAACTTGTTTCCAGCAGTTAATCACATAGTGTCCTGGTAAGTATTTCTTGTTGGCAGCTTCACCTCCCCACATCATGGAAGTACAAGTTTGCACATATACATAACATGATGATAGAAAATAAGATATAGTAAATTAGATTTCTAAATTTCGGTTCTAAGTCTCCTTGTCGATACCAGTAGATCTAAAAGAAGAATCAAATAAGAATTTAAGTAATGACCAACTATAACAATGTAAAATACAACTAATTCTTTTTATATGGATATCATAGAATTTATTGTCCTGAGATAGTCCAGTTAATCATCATTCCTGAGGCCAATGCAGCCATAATTCTTTATGATTCAAGTAGTACTGCATGTGTTTCCATTGTCCAAGATCGTATATATTCCTGTTTTTGTGATGTATTTCATTCTGTGATCAAAGCAGTATACCAATCAAACTAATAAGAAGATGTATCTGGATATAGTTTTAATATTTGAATTACTAGAAGGGCAGGCACTTAGATTTATGTAACTGATTCAGATATAAGAGCTTATGTAAGTAAGTACATAATTTAGCTAGCTCAGCCTTGGTCACTCAGGGCTGCAGAGCATAGGAGACAAGAAAACGTCCAAGTAGATTCGAACCTAGACTAGTTCTTCTTAAGTGTTATGGCTTAAAACCTATGTGGGTTTGGAACAATGTAAGGATTTACTTTTAAAAAATGTTACTGCTTTTTTAAAAATTGTTTTGGAAGTCAAACCCAGGGCTTCTTGTATATTAGAGAATCTCCCACTGAACCTCAGCCTTACCCCAAGGTTTTACTGTTTCATGAATTGAAAGGTAAAACCAACAGATAACCTCTAAATAACACCAAGAACCAACCATTTTTTAGAGGTAGGGTGGGTGCTTTTATCTCCCAAAGAGGTCTGTATTTATAGCCATCTTGTTAAAGATAGAACTACAACTTAATAGCCACAAGTTTCCTGAGAAATGTGATGTTACTTGTCTCCATTTGGGGAAGAACACAGATCCGAGTGACCCATATGTAATTACCCAGAAGTGTTCCTGTCAGACTGTTGGACCCAGTATGTAGTCGCCATGTGCAGATAAGCCCATCTGACTTTGTACCATTTGAAGTATTGTGGCAATTCTTGGGAAACAGTTTTCTTTGGGCTTTTTGAAATCCAGGAGAAAGGGTAATTCTGATTAACCTTGGTAAAACCCAGTAAGTATCCTTGGGGAAGAGAGGTAAAAAAGAGAGGTGCCCTTTTATGTAGATCCAGGAGCTAGAAGTCTGTCCTAAGCACTACCAAGTTCAGCCCTTACAAACACTTAAATTCTGTGGTACTCACAAGTATGCAGGCAGTGATACTACTCAAAGAGATGCAGACAGCAAAAAATATATTCAGTGGTTTGGGAGGTAGTTGAGGGAAAACAAAAGCACTGATCAGTGTTACCTGTATGGAGAGACGTGCAAGGCCTTGAGTAATTCCAAGGTGTAGTTAGACTGAAGCTAGGCAAGTTATTTAACACTTGCAACTTTTCCAGCAAGTACAAAAGAGAGCAAAACCAGTCTCAAAAAGAAGCCTCTTCATTAACAAAGATTAAGCAATCATTTAAATCCCACTGCCAAAATTAATAACTACTAGAAAAAGATCTGATTATCTTGGTATTGTAAATATTCCTACCAGAAGTGAATGCTGTTCACTTTGGCAGAGCATATACTAAAATTGGAACAATACGCAGACTAGAATGGTACAAGAGTGACATGCAAATTTGTGAAACATTCCATTTTTATCAAAACTATCTCCCACAAAATGGTGTGGCACATACTCATTCATAAACTGTTGATATCCTTGTGTCTGTTCTCAGCACTGCCAAGATACTATGGGATTAAATTATCGAATTAGAAGAGAAGGGTGAATACACACAAAGCTGGTTTGGCCTAGTTTTATGACGAATACTAAGCGATAGGTTTCTAATCCCCATTTTGTTTCTACCCTGTATTAAAAAGCAATGGAGAAACGAAGGTTTGTTCTCTTAGCATATTCTTGGTTTTCACATTTTATAAACTATAGCTTTTTACTTTGGTCACACATATTCTGATGTGCTATACATAATTTTACGATACACTGACTCAATTTTTAAACCTGGGAGAGGTAATGGTCAATGGTTAGTGTCACTATCATTTTTACAGATACACTAGGCAGATAAACTTAGCTAACTCAGTTGACTGATTTACTCTTTTAAATTTGACTATGATTGGTATGTCTATATGTTCATGTCCTCTTTAAAGTCTTGTTTTGGGAGGATTGATAATAAAGTTCTCAAAACTGGCCAAGAGTATAAATGCAAATAAATAAATAAGTAAGATACTTACTAGAATCAACAAGATGGTTAAGCTGCCAACAACTAAGTTGATGATTCGGTCCTGAAAGAGACAAGAGTTTGTAAGCTGGATGACTTGGATTTGGGTGCTGCCAGAATGGAAGCCAGATTCTTACAGAATGAAGAGACGGAAGAGCTGGCCCTTTGATATCTTTCAGAGAAAACTGCCAATACAAACGCGAAAAAGTGTAAATGGGGTTCTTAGTTGGTCTAAGTAATAAAAACCCGGAGACAGATACAGAGAAACTGCTGAGACATCAGAGAGAAGGAGCAAGCCACAGCACACCTTACCTCCTTAGTGTCTCAGCAGACAAGAGAGCAAGTTCCTGTCTCTCCCTCCTTACACCCTGTTTCCACCCAGCTACCTCACTTCTGATGGCCTGTACAGACCTCCAGATCTCTATGGTTAGCGAGTGGCAAACTCCATTCTCTGGCCAGTTTTATTTGTACAAGCAAGGTATCACTACAGAAAAGGTTATGGAAAATGAGGCCAACCAAGGAACGCATGTGCTGTTGGGACTGGTATGAGGGGGAAAGGTGTTCAGGCTGCCACCATGGCCTTGGCACCTGACTGATAGTCACATCAAGTGTCACTTGTATACATCTATCTGAAAATATTTGGTACTGCCAAGAAAGAACCCAAATGCCATGCTGGAAGTCCAGTTTTATTATTTTTCTCCAACTTAGTAAGACTCTAATAATATAAACAAACTGAAGAGCCAAGGGCCCTATCCAAGTTTTCTTGTGGTTTTCAGCCCTAACCCAACTATCTCCAAAATCAAACATAACTGTGTTACAGATAATAAGGCTGCCAAGTTCTTTAGAGAGAACAAAGGGCTAGAGTTGTCGCTCAGTAGTACAGCACTTGGTGTGTACAGGGCCCTCGGCCTGATTCCCCAACACCCCATCCCAAGAGAAAAGAAAGTGTATACAAGGCTGGGTTTAAGACTTGACCAGGAAACAGTACTTACATCTTATTTGTGACAAGCCAAAGCTTAGTCCTGAATTTGTATTTGTGGAACAGAGGCTACTGGGATTCAACCCAATAGACTCCCATACCACTTTGGCCCTTGAAAGATTGTTTTTAGTGTCAACAGAAAGGGAGAAACAGCAACAAACTAAAACCTCTCTTCTAGATTCTCTACTTTAGAAAAACACAAATCAAAGTTGTAGGCAAAGCTGGGAGTGTAGGAAAGCCAGGTTTGGGTGTGCCTAATCTATGCAAGGAAAATAACTCCAGATGAAGGCTAGTGACCAAAGGTTAGAAGGAAAAACTGAACTACAAACGCACCCTAATTGCACTAAGAACTCAACAGACCTTACACCACAGCCTACCAAAGTGGATAAGGATTAAGTCTGTACAACTTAATGTGAAAGTTTCAACTGTCTGTTCTGAGAATATCTGCTCTTAGAGATTTTGGTCTTCATACCCTAACAGCTGTCACCAACAGAGATGTACAATACCAAGGTAAGCCAATTTCCAAATGTCACAGCAGCTTGTTGGCCAAAATCAGGAGTGACAAGGGGGGGAAGAAAACAAACAAAACCAATGGAGAGCAACTGAGCAGACTCACAAAGCTTTTAGAAGGGATGGGGTTGACTGGGGACACAGCTTGGTAAAGTGCCTGCCGCACAAGCCAAAAGGACCTGAGTTTGGCTCAAACCCCAGCATTCACATAAAAGGCTGGAGATGAGCCTATGAGTACCTGTTAACTCTAGCTCCAGGGGATTCCACACTCTCTCCTGGCCTCTGGACACAGGAGGGGATGAGGTATAGAGACAAGAGGGTCTATAGAGCTCAATGGCCAGCCAGAGTAGCTGAGTTACCAGACCTTATCTTAAATATATATTGAATGATAAAGGACAACACTGAGCATCAACCTCTAACCTCCAATGTATGCATACATATGTACACCACACATCTAAGGATGAAATTTCAGTATGATTTGCATATGGGAATAGAAGCTCAGGAAAATAAAAAGATTGAGGCCTACCCCCCCAAAAAGTTCCTATTGAACGTTCCATGCTACACAGCATATCCTAAAAGCCACTACTGCAGACAAAGCTGTCAAGTGACAGATGGCACCTCCCAAAGCCTATTAGTAACATATCCTATTGGCCTATTAAGAATAGCATAACTGCTTTGATCATTGTAATGAGAATAGACCTAAATAAAATTTCCCCGCCAAGTATCCCCCTGAATTCACAATTACTGGGTGGCTAAAAATCGGTACTCTCTCCGTTGTTCCTAAGATGAGATGAACTATTCTGGATGTGACAGAAATGCTTCTTAGCAGCCTTTTCTTGCTCCCAGCTGATGCCATGCCTTCGGGTCTCCTGCTATAGACGACCATAAATCCAGGTCAGAAGAACCAGAGTCAATTTGAAACTTTTCACTTCTAATGCTGTATCCAAACCCTGGCTACTCCAGTGTGGAAAAGGGGCAGTTGCATTAGCCTCTCCTAAGAGCCCATTTAAATGCAAAATCAAATCTTGCTTCAGATAGGTTGAGTCAAAATATTTTTAACAAGATCTCTTATGAGCCTTGAGCAAACCCATTTTGAGATTTCAAAGCTTAGGATAGAAATGCTTTGTTCGGGACAAAGATTATATTCCAGGGTTCAGCAGGTTCTTAGAATGATTCAACCACTAGTTAAGGTGTCAAAGAGCATTTAAGGGACACATGGGTTCCAAACCTGAGCTATGTTGTACAGGGTGATAAATGTTGCATTTAAACTTTGTTATTTGTAAGAGAAACTGAAACTCAGGTTTTTCTGGGTCTGCAGCTAGTGTGAATATTTTTCCTAGAAACCATCTCCCTTCATACCGCCCCCCAGATTTTTTTATCCTAATTCTTAGCTTACGTCTGCCACTGTCTAGCTATGTAACCCCTTAAACTCTATCTTGTTTGATAGACCAAAATGGGCTAAGTGATAGTTTCAACAATTTATAATTCTGAATCCACTTCAGACTACACTTGGGTCAGAGTAGGCCTAGTCACCAAGTCCCCAGTCTTGCCTGGTCAGTCATCTCCTACACAGGAAAAGGTACAGGCCCTCAGACTGCACCTCAGGTAGTGATGGCTGTTACAGGACAGGAACATGCCAAGCAGCCAGCAGCTATCACCCACCCTTGGGAGATACCCTGTTGCTATAGAGTTTAGAATGCTAACAAGCATTGTCTTCAACCTTCCATTGCCATGGCAAATTATGCTTCACCTACTCCCAAAGCAGACTTTGTGCTAAACATACAACCCAAGTAACAATAAAAGGATGAAGGCAAGAATTCTAAAGGGGCTTAGATAACATTAAAAAGTGAAGTTCTGCAAAAGGGAAAGACTTTACAGTTGCACCTCAGATATCCACGGTATATGGTTAGTACTTAGATAAGCGTAGGGGTCTTAATTTACACTGCCTATGATTTCAGGCATCTTGAAGTCAAAGGACACTGTTCTCAGATGTATGGCAGCTGAGAGTTTTAATTCTCACTAGTCAGAGTATACATCCTGCCGGATCATCAAGTGAGGCAAACTTTTGGCCCTAGGCAAAATTTGTTGCACAATATAAACATAGATATGGCAAACACAGTATTTCAAAGACAATCAGTTCTCCTCTTAGTCCATAAAGTAAGCTAAAGACACTTTGACAGGTACAATCCCAAATGAGCGAACTGTAACTTGGGAGAAGAAGCGGGTGAGCTGCTCCCAATTCAACTACCTCTCCCCCATAGCCAAACCTAAGACATCACTTCCTCTGGAGATCAACTACCTCTCCCCCATAGCCAAACCTAAGACATCACTTCTCTAGAGATCCGTTCTGGACATCACCCCTCAGGAGAGAGATTCCCACCTCTAACTCCAGAGATCACCCAGACTTCACACTTAATCCATCAAAGTAAGATACACTACTTGTGTGCTTCCCTGACACTGGCAGCTAACTAACAGTGGAAAGACGACCTTCCCTTCATTTTCCTTAAGGCCTCTTCTCCAGTAGAGAGTACTCCTCTCTCACCTGGGACCTGACCTGTCAGCGAGTGTAGCCTCACTGCTTTGTAGGTCAGGCATTTAACAGAACAGCAGAAACTCTGGCCTGGTCCTGTACCTCAGGCCCAACAGCCTCTCAAGTGCTTCCTGGGATGTGTTGATTTCAAGGAAGCAGCAATAAACTCGGGGAATTACAAGGTCAGTTTCTGCTAAGGCAGGAAAAGGCAGTGATTGCCAAGGCTTCATTTTCACATGGCTCCTCCTTATGCAATGTGCTCAGCACTCCCAGGAAGAAAACAGGAAAGGAGGGGGAAAAAAAGGATGCCACACATTCTCCATACTCTTGGAGAAGGTAGGATAGGGGAGCCCTCAGGGAGGGCTGGAGGTTGCCCTGTAGAATTACACCTCTCCCCAGGTTTGTCTGTCTCCACACTGCCCACTTGAATGTTCCTCTTTTTCTACCCCAAAAGCTCACACCCCTGAGTACCATTCCTAGACTCAGTGCCAGGACTTCACCGGGCTGCGTGTTTTCTTTCCCAGGCCAGCATAAGACAATTTTCAGTCACAGCAACTTCTTCCCATCCTCATCTTAACTATCTGCTATGCCAAATCCCCCTCCCCCTAGTCCTTTACCCTCTTCTGCCCCCCAAACTGGACCACATTCACTAACGAGGACATAACCAATCTACTACACCAAGGCTATGATTCGAGGGCCTCTCTTGCAGACTAACTGTGAGCTTAGCAATTCCAGAACTACACAGAAGACTCCATGGAGGATGCATCTTGGGAAACTTGGGCCTAAGCCATGTGATCTAAACCAACTACTACTGGGCACTGGCACTAGGCCTTGATCTGGGTAGTCTAAACTATATTAGTACTTGGCTTATCTCTTCCTCCACATGCCAAAGTTGGGGACAGTAAGGCCAAAGCTGTTTTACTGTCAGATGTTGAGTCACTTCTATATAAGTGAACTTCCTAGGTTTGCGCCGCGGAACATGTTCTCACCCTCCCAGAAGAGCACCTTTTCTGATTCAAGACAAAACCAAGCCATATGCCTGTGGGAGCCACCCCTGCTCACAGGGACTTCACTGTATCTCGTCATACTCGTCTGCCAACCACAATACCCAGAATATGTAAGATGACTGCATGGTAAGGGCAGAAGCCAGGTTCAACACACATCTGTGTTGTCTGTCCTCAGCTAGTCCTTCACTGTGCCCCACACGTCTTACTTTTACTTGACTGCTTCTGACCTCTGCAGAAAGTGGCTGGAAGCTCTCCTTCTTCCCCTCAGGTTCTCAGTCCGATTCCTGAACCCACAGTATCAATCATCTCACAAAACAAAATGCTGGGAGAGAAAGGAGTGTCCACCCCTCCCTCCCCACTCCATCCCTCCTAACGAGGATGTGAACGGGGCCTGTTTTGGGGTCACTCCTGCACCATTCTCATCCTTAATCCATCTCCATTTAACCCGTTCACCTGTCCTCACCGAGGCCCATCACTGGCTTTAAAATCAGAAGAGCTCATTCTGTCATGCTTTTTCTATTGACTAAGATTCCTTGGTGAAGAGTGAACAGAGTGGGTGGGGGCAGGCATGAGAAGTCACTCTGGGGCATGAAATTTGAGAAGCCTCCTTTTGAGGAAAAGCAAGGAAGCATGCAAGAATTTAGAGAGGAATGCTGCAAACAATGTATTCAGCAGTAGCCAAGAATGAAAACAGGAATGAGCCTGGAGAGCTCTGCTCCAGCTTACATAGTGGCATCCTCTCCAAATCTAATGTGGAAACAACCCTCCAGGGCTGATTTAAGAGGTATCGATAACCTTTTGGATCCTGGCATGGTGGTGCACGCCTTTTTTACTTCCAGCACTTGAGAGGCAGAGGCTAGTGGATCTCTGCGGCCATGGCCAACCTAATTTACAGAGCAAGTTCCAGGACAGCCAGGGATACAGAGAAACCCTGTCTGGGAAGAAAAGAGAGGGAGGGGGGAGGAAAGGGGGGATGTCATCTTGGGATGGCGCAGGTGCCCTCCTGCATGGGATCCTCACCCCTCAAAGCCTCTAGCCTTTGCAGCCTTGCTATGTTGAGAACACAGCATTACTCCCCTCTAGGGGGCAGCAACAAGTCACCACCTTGGAGGAAGCCCCCCTCCTGACACCAATCTTGATGTTGCCTTTGTCTTGCACTTCCCAAACTCTTAGAAGAGCTAGAAAATAAGTCTCTGTCCTCTACAAATGACACACCAAGTGGCACATTGTTCCAGGAGCACAACTGTACTAAGAACAAAAAGAACCAGGTAAAGCCCAATAAGCAATGGTAAGAGAAGAAAAGGAACATTCTATCTTCCCTCCAGCACTTACGAGAGAAAAAGACATGACCCAGCACATTTCCTGGGATGTAGTTGTGGACTTCATCGATTTGCACCGAACTCTTCTTGAGATCTGCTATCACTATGCCCAGTTAAAATTCTACTTCTGCCTCTAGGTCAAGGCGCAGAGTCTGACCTGACATCCTTGAGAGCTCCAGCTATGCAAAGGGACATTCTGACACCTATCACTACTCACCTGCCTGTCCCACACTTCCTTCAATGTCTCTGGATACCGGGTACTGTTAGTAAGGAAGCAAAGCAATGTGTTACCATGCATAGCCCACTAGAGAACTCCCCACCGTCACCTAGAGCGAGGGAGTCAGACCTGAGCCACACCCTGCTTCCACATTTCCCAGACTTAAGGGTTCTAATGCTACAAGCTAGAGATGGGTTTTCAGAAACTACTTTGCGACAGCCTCCAAAACAATACAGAGAACCCTGTCTCCAAGAAAAAAAGAAATCACTTGGCTTTTCTTCCAGTCGCAGAGAAAAACGTCATGTCATTCAAGCTCTAGAAAGCTGGGTGAGACAGCCCTGAGGAAAGTTCCCTGAGAAGATATGAAATGTGGGAGGGTTCCTGCTGTGCCCTGACAGTGTTTCTTGTGAGCTGTATGGCTCTGCCTAAATGGGGCATTCCTACTGGATGATAACCAGAGACAGCAGGGGGCGGGAGGAACATTCACATGAGTGGAAATGAGACTCCTGCCTCACTGGCTAACTCTAGGGAACAGTGAGCTCTCTGCCCGTTGGTACAACCTTCCCAAGACTTCCCAAGGAAACAGCACTCAACAGAACCGCAAGGAGTAGCAATTCATGGACAGGGATCTCCAGAATGCAGGTGCCCAGGCATAGACACAGTCCTTTAATCCCAGCACTCAGGAGACAGAGGCAGGCTGATCTCTCTGAGTTTGAGGCCAGCCTGGTCTACATAGTTCAACCACAGCCAAGGCTATGTAGACCCTGTCTCAAGAATAAAATTTTAAAAATGTGTGCGACAGTGTCACACATTTTGCACTGCTATGCATGAATATGAATCCAAAATTTCTTCTTTGTTTTGATCAAGACAAAGTTCACAGACATTTGTTAATTTTCCCTTCTTTCATCATATTCACATTTTGAAGCACCTTCAGGTTATAAATATTTTTGTACATCCATCCATCCTAGCAGATTCTCCTCACAGACACCTGAAATAGATTATGGTCATTGAAGCCCCATTTATGGAAATCAAAGCAAAAACAGAGCACAAACACAGTCCACATGTTTAAGGGGAGAGAAACAACTAGAGTTGTTACCCACAGAAGCTCACTAATATGTGCAGCCAAGCTTCAGAATGGCAGACTGCTAAATACTGAGGCAGAGTCCTGACGATGTGATTTACAAGCCTTCTTCATAAGTCACTTAACTTTTAAAATGTTATGTACAACTTGCTAGGTTACTGGAAGGATTAGGAAATGAAAGTCCCTACAACAGAATGGTTGTCATTCAATGGTAAAAGGTGGCCTGTTCAGGTGGCCATATCTAATGAGAAGTCTTCAGTGATTGATTTAGTGACTCCTCCGTGCTTAGCCCCAATTTCTACAGCAGCCAGTAACTTTAAATTCGTTTCACTTCCCATACAAACACTCAAGTTTGCCAACAATCTGAGCTCAGAAAATACTGTTACCACATATCTATACATGACCTGCATCTGACCATAAAAGAAATAATTATTCAGCTCATGAGAACCAGGCAATTACCACATCTGAGCAAAAGTCCAGTTTTTCCAGAGAACAGTAAACCATTAAAACTTTTTGAGAGGCCAGGCTTGGTTTGTTTCTTACACCCATTTACTACCGGCCTCTGCTATATATACTTCAACAGGAAGAGAGACAGTAATTGAATTGCCTGAGAGTTTAAAACACGACTTCCTGTTTGGGCAACCAGTGAACCCAAGTTTCTGAACAGAGAAACCTTTGCATTCTGTTGTTTTAGAATCTCCCAAGAATACAGGTTATTTGGGGATGATTCTAACCCTCACATCACTTAAAACTTAATACACTTAAAACCACACACAGGATGAGTCCCTTCACTTAGGGACCACACTCAGAAGAAGTCACGTTCCTGTGCCAGGGTGCCTCTCTTAACCAGATTTGTTGGAGAGAAGCAAGGACAGAAGCACAAAATTGAGAGGCAGTTAGCTGTAAGGCCAACAAGACAGCTCAGTGAGTACAAAAAGCACTTGCCACACAAGCCTGACATCCTGAGTTCAATCCCCAGAAGGGAAAGAAGCAGGAGGTAGCTCCAAAGGTCAGAGGAGAAATGCGACCTCAATGGAGCTGGTACACAGCCAGGTACAACCAGTACAGCTCAACCCTCTCCGGATGTCCTCTGCAGAGCTTTGCAAACATTTGATGCCTGGCAGAGGCCCATCCCCAAAGACCCCAATTCCACTGATCTTGACACAGGAGGAAGAAAACTTACAGAGTAGAAAGGGAAAAGTCACTGCATTCATTTGTCCAGAACTGCAACTTTGGCACAAGGAACTGAAAGAGATTTGGCAGGCTAGCTGAGAAAAGACAAACTGTTTGCAGTCCCTTGGCAACTAGCGCTCCTTCGAGGGAGACAGAGCTGTGCTCATGGTATCACAGAAATTAGCTGTCAAGAGAATCTAGAAGCTTACACTCCTCAGAGGGAAGCTTTGTGGGATCCTGAGCAAGAGAGGCAGCAAAGTCCTTAAGCGGGGAAAAAGAAACCAAAAAAATTTTTAAAGGGGCTAAAATGACACAAATAGCATTCTAATTTTACATTCGAATATTCCTAGTTCAAACAATTAGGACTAAAAGTAATGAAAAAAAATCTTGGTTTTGCTACTTGTTTGCTTACTTATTTACTGAAGGATGTGGGAAGGGGAATTTGCTCTCAGAACCAAGTTATCTAAGCCTCAGAGTCCACAAACCTCTATAGAGCATATCTCCTTTCTCATTGCTATCAGCTATAGAGTGCACCGTAGTAACTCCTCATCCTTGCGTTCCAACACAAGGAACAAAATGTCACTGCTTTTCTTAGATTAACTGCATACTTGAGATCAGTGGCCGTCACTGGAACACATTCATCTGGGAACCATTTTATATTACATCCCACCCACCAAGTGAAGATCTGTCCTCAGCCCATCTGCATTAGCTGTGGGGAAATGTTTTGCTTTCTCCCACCAAAAAAAAAAAATCACTGTCCTCTTCGCACCCAGGTCTACCCAGCCTAGACGG